GCATCACAGTTCACAGCAACCTCCAACTCTTGGGCTTAGGCGATTATCTTGCCTCAGCCTCCTGAGTAGCTGGGACTACAGGCGCCTGCCACAATACCTGGCTTTTTTTTTTTTTTTTATTGTTGTTACAGTTTGGCTGGGACTGGGTTCGAACCCGGTATATGGGGCCAGTGCCCAAGGACCACAGTTGTTAAGCTGCAGTTCAGAAAACCTGTGGGTCCCATGTAGGATTGATGTGAGCTGGACTGAATATAACTAACGCTTGCATTTTTCCAGTACAAGTTGTGCAAAGTGAGAAAAATCTTTGTGGGCACAAAAGGAATCCCTCATCTGGTGACCCATGATGCTCGTACCATCCGCTATCCTGATCCCCTCATCAAAGTGAATGACACCATTCAGATTGATTTGGAGACTGGCAAGATTACTGATTTCATCAAGTTTGACACAGGTAAGCATTTTCTATGCTATTTGGGCATCTTTTTTTAGGCCCAAGTGTAAGCAGGGTGGGGGTTGTTTTTAAGAGAGAGGATCTTGCTCTGTTGGCAAGGTAGAGTGTGGTAGCACCATCATAGTTCACTGTAACTTCAAGATCCTAGGTATAGAGATGGTGGTCTTGGCTATGTGATTCAGGCTGGTCTTAAACTCCTTGCCTCAAGCAATCCTGCTTCAGCCTCCCAAGTCATGAGCCACCATGCCTGCCTGTTTTATTTTTTAGTTTTAATTGTTATGAATAACACAATGCCTAAATATAAGTATCCTTTTTTTCTCCTTTTGTTTTTAAGCTACCTTCTCCAACCTCCAGGTTTATAGTATCTTTACTTTCAGAGGCCTAAATGCTTAGAACATTGTAGGTGGCTGATGAGATGAGGTCTGGTATAAAAGCAGGTCTTAAGAACCCTAAGAGTCATGGCTTGGGCAACAGACCCAGTAAGAGTAAATTGAAATGGGGGGAAGGATGAATAACTTTGTTTTAGACCTGTGTCTGGGCTGCTTGTCATTTGTCACAGTGGTTGGTTGTGAATTTGCACGATAGCTTTGCTTGAAGCAGATGATTTCTTCCTACTTAGGTAACCTGTGTATGGTGACTGGAGGAGCTAACCTGGGAAGAATTGGTGTGATCACCAACAGAGAAAGACATCCTGGGTCTTTTGATGTAGTTCATGTGAAAGATGCCAATGGCAACAGCTTTGCCACTCGCCTCTCCAACATTTTTGTTATTGGCAAAGTAAGTCTGGTTTCCCTTCTCTAGCCCAGGGAAACATGTAAGCACAGATACTGCTAGGATTGCAACACCTATCCTAAGCCTCTTCTCAGATAAGGCTTGTGCAGAGCTGGGCTGGGTCAAACTTAAACTCTTCCAGTGTCACAGAGTCAGTGGGGTACTTGGGGGCATCTGATCACCTTAGTTTGTGAAAAGTGCTAATAAGGCAATTGAATAGACCTTATAGTTAGGTTTTTTAATTATTTGTGGTTGT